AGGAAGAGCTGCTCAGGTAGCTCAGCTAGGATGGAAAACTTAGTTGGGGGACAAAAAAGTGCTGCTGCTTGGGGTCTTAATGGTGCAGAGGTTTTCCAAGGGTTGGAGGAAACATGGAAAGGGTTTCTGTTCTTCCTCAGTTCAGAATCCTAAGCTGGAGTTGTGGGTCCATGTTGAGAGGCAAAAGAGGGGAGTGTTGGCAATGTCAGAGCAACTGGTGCCTTCGTCCCCTGTGCAGGGCTGCAGGGTAAAGGGGGGACATTAGAGGTGGTGGCCATGGTGGCCATGTGCTTTCCCCGCTTTCCCACAACCCCAGCACGCCCAAACCCATGATACTTTTTGCAAAGCCAATGGCTCTGTCTTAGCGAGGCTCACCAGGATAGGGATGAAGATGATGTCTTTGGATACACGCCTGCTTCTTGTGGAAGAGAGAGCGAGCAGACCAGGATCTCTCACCTGTAAAAAGGAACAGCAGGTGGAGAGGAACCCGTTAAAGTTATGGCTGGTTCAGAAGGCCTGGCCAGGGAAGACCTTTTCCCAGTACGAGGTCTAGGGAGGTTCCCATCAACTGAGTGCTGAGCTGAAGAGAAACCAAAGGGAGCACTTGCACCCCCACATGGCTGGTGGCACCCATAGCCATGGAGGCCAGTGCCCGAGGGACAGACAAACTCCTGGGGACCCACCCAAGCCCCAGCATGAGCCCATATCACCAATCCTGCCCCTGCCAATGCTAAAGCCACCAGCTCCCCAGGGCTGGGGCATGATCAACCAGAGGGAGAACGTTCCCCTGCTTGCCCCGCATCTTGCTCCCCTTCCCTTCCCCACAGCCCATTGACAAGCTGACCTGGGGTCAACCCTGACCTTTTTCCACCTCCCGCCGGGTGGGCTCTGACCCTCGGTCCCACGTCCTTGCAGGGCAGCTGGATTACACCCCACAGTGCAGCGGCCACGGGAACTTCAGCCTGGAGTCATGCAGCTGCGTGTGCATGGAGGGCTGGGCGGGAAGCAACTGCTCCGAGCCCCGCTGCCCCCGGGGCTGCTCCAGCCGCGGCG